TTTATAGGCTTTTTTTTTATCATTTATCATGTAAATGAATTGTTTACCAGCCGAGCAACATGGCGCTTGCAAAGCCACCTATGCAAGTATAATCCCTCAAGAAAAGTTCCTAAGACGATGTCCGCATTCCCGCTGAAAAATAGCTGCTGACATCGGCCATTTGTATTCAAGAACTTTGCATCTTTTCTCTGGAAGCTTATGGTAAATTATGTTGAAATCAGCGGTTATCCGTTATCTCCCCAATAAAAAAAAAAAATGAATCAGTACTCGTACGGGTAAACAATTTAAATCAGCGGTCCCACCCTTTTTACGTCACGGTCTGGTGTAATACAATTTTTCCACGAGTCAAAGTGGGGGTCGCTCTCAGTCACGCGAATAACAAAACATATTAAACAAGACTGCAACAGACAATAAAATGGGAAAAAATGTTTTTATTTTTTCTGTGCGAGCCGGCGCCAAATTGTCCACGGCCTGGTGGTTGGCGACTGATGCTTTAAATTTTTTGTGCTAGATTAAGCAAAGTTTAGTGACGTTTAAATAAAAAGATTTCCCTGCTCTGCGGGCGGAGACTAGAATAAAACCACTGCATGTTCGCAGAGGATTACAACCGTCCCTGAAAAACGTGGCTATCGACATATCTAAATGTTTACAGACTAAAATACGTGTGTTTTAATAACTTGGACCGAATTTAATGTGAAATAAGTTTAAGCGTTTATTGATTTTTTTTCGTTTTCTTTCACAAATTTAGCGGACATTTGGGAGATATTTTTTTCACACATAATTGCCATGACTTAAATAACATGATCCAATAGAGAAATGAATAAATTTTCACCATTAATACGGGTTTATTTACTGCTGACTTTGATCCGTCTCAATGAACACCCTTATATATAATCCGTCCTAAAGAAACAACCTTTACAAACGAACAATAGTTACAAAGAAAAAAAAACAGTAAACAAAACAAAACAACAAATAACTATAAAAGAATTAAATTCGACATTTAATAATTAAATAAGCGATTACATGGCCTAAATGAAACAATCAATTATTGAAAACGAATTTAAATTTTGAGTATTGTTTTCAAATATTTCTTTTCCCTTTTTTTATTTGTTGTGTATTCGTTTTTGAGCGTTTCTAACCCAGACTTGGACGCAAAGGCAACAATTATCTACTGTTAAATACACGATGTAAATTGCCACGACGTAAAGTATTAGAGAGAAAGCTAATGCATCTGAAGTATTTCACGTTATATCTTCTAATCAATGAGAGACTAAATTAATACTGACAGGAGAAAGAAAAATAGAAACGGTTTATATGAACAAATCAACCCGAGGAATTCTACCAGTCGACACAATTAATAAACAAGATAGTTTTTTTTTATGATTAGCTAGCGTTGTTTTACTTGCGAGAATACAAAGCGTGTCACACCGACAATTGGCGTGCACTTTCGTCCACAAGTATCTTACGAACTTGTCATTGTTTTCTTTCTGAAAAAAGTTTCTTTTCATCCTAATCTACTTGGTCGACGATTATTATTATTATTATTATTATTATTATTATTATTATTAAACAAAAGGTTTGACGTAACTCATCCAATATTTAAAATTAAATAAGATTCAATGAACACAGGTATGAAGTCGGACAAAACAATAAGTCATCAACGGAGCTTACAGAACGTTTTATTACAAACGACTGTAATTTCGACAAACATCTAAGTTACACATTCTGAAAAAAATATTCAGAATCTACCGACCTGTTGACCCTAAAACGCATGAAGATGGTTACTTGATCAAATTTTTAATTTTCTGGAGTATGAACAGAATAACAGGAGAGTCCCATAAGCAGTTTGATTAATTAATTTTAGTTAATAATCAACTAACGGGAAATTCCAAAATGAGAAAGCTCACTATCACATTAAGCATGCCCGGTGGTGTTTCATTTGTTTTGATGCCTTGTTTTACAAGTACAGCCATTTTTTTTTCAAGACAAGCGACGTTTGTAATAAAATGATGAACATCCTAAGGTGTACATTCCGAAAAATATTCAGAATCTCCCCACCCTAAACAACACTAATGAATCTTGCGACTCTTGAAAAGGATGATTATTGTTACGTAAATAAATTCTTAACTTCCTGTCCCAGGAGAATGAACAAAATGGCAGGAGAGTTCCATAAGATTTATACTAATCTGTTTGATTAATTCCTCTTAGTAAATAATCAATTAAAGGAAAATTTCAAGATGTACAAGATCACCATCATATTAAGCATATTTCAGTTGCATGACTTCACGCTGTCGGCGTTTCATTCATCTTGATGCCATTTTTGCCAAGACAAGTTTCGTTTGTAATAAAACGATAAACATCTTAAGCTGCACATTCCGAAAAATATGCAGAAACTACCGACCCTTAACAACCTTAATAAATCTTGAGACTCTTGAAATGTAAACAAATTATTAACTTCCCAGCCCGGGACAATGAACAGAATGATCGGAGAGTTCCATAAGGTTTATACTAAGCTGTTTGATTAATTCCTCTTTGTAACTAAACAACTAACGGGAAATTTTAAGATGAACAAGATCACCATCATATTTAGAACTTCTCAGTTGCATGCCTTCATGTGGGCGACGTTTCATTCGTTTTGACGCGTTTATTACCAGGGCAGCATTTTTTTTTATTTGCTTGTAATGAAAAAAAAAGAGGTACCCAGACCTGTAATTTTTTGTTTTAAATAACTTTTTATACTTGAATTCTTTTTAAATAACTTGAGGAAGACAGACATTCTATTGAACTATTTTTAACATTGTTTTTTTTTCTTTTCTTTATCTTTTTTATAATATGGCGCTATTCTCTTTATTGTTTATTAATATTATTATTATTGTTGTTGTTTTCTTCTCTTTGATTTCTGCCGTATACTAATTTCTTTCCGGGTCCCGACCAGAGACCTAAGGTTAGAAATGGCATCATGACATTTTCCATTGAGCAGTTTTGAAAAAAACATCGCACAACTTTTTTATATAGATAAATCTATATAAGATGTGGGCTGTACTTGTGAGTACAATTTTTGTATTTTTTTAAGGCATCGGCTACCATGAATCTCGTCACTGAGTCTCCTGGAATCTTTACTATTATTATTATTATTATTTTAAAAATTACAGAGATAAAGCCCTTCGTAAGCTGTGGACTGCACTTGTGAGTACAATTTTAGTATAAATTTAAGGCATGGGCTACCAGGGATTCCTTCAGTGAGTCTATTGGAATTTTTTCCGATCAATCTGATGGCTCAGACTACAACTGGAATTGTTAAAGTCCTCATGACAGATTTCGATTTCAAGGTACTTGTATTTTGTTAGTTTTTTGAAGATCTTCAAAGATACATCGCTGTCTGTAGGGACTGCCTATGTCAATAAAGAGGCACATTTTGTCTTTGCGATCTCTAATCACGATGCCAGGGCGATTAGCTTTGATTGTTCGGTCTGTGTGTATTGTATATTATTATTATTATTATTATTATTATTACATTTTCAAACTGAGCATTTTTTAGAGGAAAAACAAAAACAACAAAAACAAACTTAAGATCACACACATTTTACACAGATAAACCCCTTCGTAAGGTGTGGGATATTCTTGTCAGTACAATTTTTTGTATTTCTTTAAGGATCGGTCTACTAAGAATTCCTTCAGCGAGTCAATCTAAAGCTTTTCAAATCAATCCGATAGCTCCAAATACTCTTGGAATTATTGATTTCCTCGTGTGCCACCTTTTTTTTTAGATTTCTACTTGAATATCTCTGCATTTTGATAGTTTTTTTTTTAAAGATTTTCAAAAGTATATTACAATCTGCAGGGACTGCCAAGTAAATAACAATGCACACTCTGTTTTTGTAGTCTTGATCACGAAGTCTGGGCGATTAATTTTGATTGCTCTGTCTGTGTGTATTCTAAAATTCTATTATTATTTACACTACATCCATTAGGCATGGCTCGTGGAACTAGAACAGTCTACCCCAGTGAGCGAAATAAAGAGTTCAGTTCGACATCCCAACCAACTGAAGAAGGCCGGAGCGTACAACGGCCGAAACGTTGTAATAAATAAGGCGACAAAAACGAGGACACTAGTCCGAATAATGTAAATAGTGTACATAATACCTCATCTCAAAAATATAGACAGAAACCCATTATTATTATTATTACAAATGTAGCGTTTTAGCCCAACTTTGTGGCTCGCTACGCTCTTCATTGTTACCATAATTTTATTACTGGTATTACCTTATCATATTATTGATTTTAATACTAAAAAATTAGACCAATGCAATCGTCTTCTTCTTCTTCTTCTTATTATTATTATTATTATTATTATTATTATTATTATTATTATTGAGCCAAGAAAGCAACACGCAAAAGGGTACAAATATAGGAAGACCAATATACTAAACTAGACAGTCAATCTAAAAGCATACCAGGAATACTGCATCACAGTCGATTGGTTTATGGTTTATTTTGTTTTACTGCTTTTCAACCTCAATGGCTTACTTAATACCCACGTGATTTTTAGGATAGGTCCGTATGAAACTATAGAATATATATTTTTGTGTAAGAAGTCGATTTTTAGTTCAGGTTTCAGTGGTGTATTTTTGTAAAGAGGGTTTTTGCCGACAGTCAAATGTATTGCTGGTAATATTTTTTTCCAAAAATATACTGCTGGTATTTTACTATAAAAATCAATTTTTATACATTCATAGGGTTTTGACACGTGTCACCGTTACCGTCACTTAAGGAAATCAAATTAGCCATCATTTCGAGAAGATTTTTTCGGCAATAAGCAATAAGACTCACGCAGTCTGCATTTTCTTCTTTTATTAACCTGAGTATGGAAATCTTGTCGAGTACTGAGACATCCAAATCCTAATATTTGCAGACCCGCATTCCAACATGGTGAAAGTTCTCACTGGAAATCTCGCTACGTTCTTCGGTATTTGGCCGAGTCGGTTTTGTCGCAATGTTAGTCCCAACCGCTTTGTACAGAACAATAGACCGAATTCGAAATCTCTCTCTCTCTGTCTCTGTCTGTCTGTCTGTCTGTCTGTCTCTCTCTCTCTCTCTCTCTCTCTCTCTCTCTCTGACTGAAAAGCACTCATGCGTATTTCACCAGGTTTGGTTGGGTTTATTTTGTTTTACGGCATATCAACTTCAATGGGTTATTTAATGTCGATAAGATTTTTAGGATGAACTTGTATGAATAGTTGTTGAAACTTGACTAATGCATGGAATAATAATACAACACAAAATGTACTTAGAACAAAATGTATTGAAACAAGAAAGTGTACACAATATTTACATATAGTCTTTTGTATATTCTTGGGAAGACCGTTCCTGGAGAATGTGTTGACTGAGTCGCAGTCGGGCAGAGTCTCTGGTTGAATCTCTTGATTCCTCCCCTCTCTTCCCGGTACCAATCATATTTATATGGTCGGTACTCCACTATGCAAATTAGGTGGATCCTACCACAACAATAGTATTGGTCTTCTTCGTAAGGAATCAGTTTGTAGATCAGAGTTTGGGCTTATTTTGTTTTAAGGTAGATCAAGCTAAATGGATAACTTAATGTCGAGAAGATTTTAGGATAGATTCGTATGAATACGTATTCTTTGCATGAAATCCGTTTGTAGATCAATTTTCATTGACGTATTTTTTGCTAAAAGGATTTTTGCGAATGTCAAATTTATTGATAGTAATATTTTTTGTTCAAAAATATATTCTTGGTAATATTTTTTTTTTCAAGTATTTCAGTATTGCTTATATTTTTACTATAAAAATCTATTTTTTATAGTTTGATAGTATTTTGACGCTAATCTGGGGGTCAACTATTTGCCCATAGATGGGATCCTAACAGGGACTACCATCCCGAGTCAGGGAGCAACAGTAATTAAGATGTAGTTCCACGCACCTCAAACGCACCCGATCAGAGTCTTTGCTGCCATGTGAAGTTTATCCTTATTTCCAGGGCAGTCACAGCCGAATGCATGCGAGATGGTGAAAGCCCATAACCCTGCAGGTTGAGACATTTGAAAATTTCTTTTCGGGAAACGTACAAGTCTCTGCCGGCGAGGGTGTGTTGAAGTATATGACCAAATCGATTTGCCTGCTTCATCCTTCAAATATATGCCGTATATATTCGCGTATCATACGATTTTTCAAGACCTGATTTTGAAGCTAATTTTAAGCGTGTCACACCATACACGAGATATAAAATTAGTGTATGTACTGCTGGCACTGGCTACGCAGTTGAACAAACTATTTATCTATTTATTGTAGTCAATTTAGCTCCAAAAGTAGGTCTTCAAAGGTCACGTGATACGCGAGTATATACGGTATACATATAAAAAAACACATCTGACACGCAGTCATAATGATCCGTCACCGCTCCCGCCCATAAGCAGATATGTATAGTTCACCAACATCCACTGGGCATGCTGAACTGTAAAACAGAATTGTGCCATGGTGTCGTGGTTTGGGTTCCTCGATAATTCTAAATCCACAATAAGGATTTTATTTGTTTTCGGACAGGAAAATTTATCACTTTCCATTTTTGGAAGTTCATTACTTTCTGCTTTAGAGGGATTCTTAAGGGAATCGTCCTCCCAAATTCTTCCTTTCTCATATTGGTATCTCACACCAATCCCCTTAGAGGGCGTCAACATGCCCCCCTCCTTCTCATATGTTTACCTTCGCCCACCGCTCACGCCGCCATTCAGCCAATGAACGTTCGGCAGCGTGCGTGTGGCTAGTCTGGCCTCAGTTTAAAATTATCGCTCAAAGGAAAAAATATCTTCTTTCTTTCTTTTCTTTTTTCTTCCTCGACAAGACCCCTACGACCCGTAGTGTGGTCCTTAATCTCTATCTTAACCGAATGTCATCCGGAATTTATCAACGAGATTTTCGCCAAGCGTCCAATGGGTTGTCAACTGAACGTCTTCGCACCCTGTCGCCAGCGATCTGTCCCGGCAACCAACTTTTATCATGTCCAGGTCTGGATATAAAACAGGTGTCTCTCCAAAACCAAATGATATCTCCGAAAGATAGTTAATGGTTTATTCTTTCCCTTTCTCTCCCTTCCCTTCCTTTTTCTCTGGGGTGGCCTCAGCTGATCTTTTTTTCTCGGTCGGTGCTTGACCTGATTACGATTATCTTCCAGCATTCTGTTTTGTAGGCCACTTGACCAATTTGAAATTTTCATTATTGCCATGGGCAGATTGCTATCTTTTATTCGACGCGTCATAGCATAAATTAATTCCAACAGATCCGAATTTCCTATCTTCCACAAAAAAAAAAACTTTTTTTCGCAAATGAAAATAAAATCTTTACCACTTTTCTCTTTTAAAAAAAATAACATCGCTCAGAATGTCTTTCGTGACAGCTTCTTCTCGCCTTAATTATTTCTCGCTTTTAATTTTCACGCAACCGGTAAATAGTGTCACAAACTGCTGGAGTAGAAGTGGCAGTTACATTTGACTATTTCGACGGGAGGGACCTAGATGCCGCTTAAATTTACGTAGTGAGGGCATCAGGGAAAAAAACTCGTCAAATACATCCAATCATATTAAAAGCTGATTAATCTCTGCCTGAAGAAGAAACGTTTCCCAAGTACATGTGTAACTAGCGTGTGCCCTGTGTATAAAAATACGAGTGGGCTCTAATCACCAGTAAATATCACCCCATAAGCCTTTTTCGTATCATCAGCAAACTTTTGAAGCAGTCATAAACAAGAAACAAAAATAAAGAATTGCGGGACAAACAGTACGATGTTCACTGTTCTAGGTCCACTGCTGATGTATTAATTAACATTACCCATAGAATTAGTGAAAGGCTTGACAATAAGCACCTAATAAGTGTAATTGTCTTAATATCTCTAAGGCCTTACTGTAAAAACTCACCAGCGACGTAATGCCTGGCTGAGTTTTCTCAGTTATCATGTCTTCCCTATCAGGTATATCTATGAAGGTCGATTTTAATGGCCACTTCTCTGCGGCACTTGAGATCAATGCTGGCGTTCCACAGAGCTCCCTCCTGCATACTATCCTTTTTCTTGTTTATATTAACGACTTGGTTAAGAACATCATCAGATATACTATATGTTATGGTCCAAGTTCTTGTACCACTGTGATAGTCCAAGGTAGAACCAATAAAGAAGAACTCGAACACGGATATGGAATAACACAGATATATTACAAACAGGAATATATACAGAGAAGTAGAAAGTGTTAGTACGAACAATCAGGTTTAGTAGAGAGAACAATGTAGTCTCGACCAGTATCACTATTCCAATGTCTTGTAGTAATTGTCTGGACGCGACTCTGTTTCGGACCGCCTCTGACTCGACTGACTGACTCACTCGCTCTGACTGAGTGACAGACTGCTGACGGACTTCTGACGGACCTCACTCCAGACTTCAGACTGAACGGTATTTAGTCACCCCCCACAAGGGCATCATGTGGCACAAGGCCGGTTTAACGTGGGATCTCCGAGCACGTGGAATCTCCGAGCACGTGGGCTCGGCCAAAAATATACCCTTTGAACCCGTATAAACGTGTTCAGGGTCATTTTACCTCCCAGAAAGAAACTCCGCCCTTCGGCGTAGCCTCGTTCGGGTTCCTCCCCGCCCGAAGGCAGGGAGTTCAACCGATCAGCCAGTCAGCCGGTCGCCCGACTTCGGACTGAACTCCCTGCTTCCTCTTGAGGCGCAGTATTTATTACGTATGGAATAGTCCATTATGTTATTATGGGTAAGGTCCCCTAACACTATAAATATACATGCAGATGATACCACGTCACATCCAAATATCTGGATGACAAGTGCCTGGCAGTTGATCTCTCCTCTGACCTAATTCAGACAGCTCAATGGGGGGGGGGTAAGACTGGCTAGTAGCATTCAAAAGGTCCAATACAAAGCTAGTAACCTTTGATCACCTTAAACTTGCTCCAATACCCGAAGAACGGTCATAATTTCAAAAAGACACCTTGTCTTGAGGGATCTGAAAGTCACACCACTGACCTCCGGATGAGTATACGTCCGCCATCATAAATGATGATGGAACAATTGCCGGTATCATGTATCACTCCAAATCGTTCAGATAGATTGCTATACATTTACAAATGTCAAATCAGACCAACCTGCCCAGTGCGAACTGTTCAACCTTGATGGAATTCAAAACAGATTACACCTCCTTTTAGATGTTGAATTACGACAATTATTCCACAGTCGAAACGTTTTTCGCCTCTCACTATTCTATTACGATTCCTATGTCAAATCTTCGAAGAGATACTTTCTTTAGTCACACCAGTTCAGACCTTCACAGCTAGGAACCTCAACTATCTGTTCATGGCAACAAATTATTGTAGTCCTTTGGTAAGAAGCAAGTTCCATTCAGATTACTTCCTCCCTAGAATTGTTAACTTTGTATTAGGTTGGTGCAAAAATAATGACATAATAATGTCGTTTTTTGACGTTAAAAAATACGTCAAAAAACGACATTATTACGTCATTATTTTTGCACCAACCTAATAAAACAGACTCCCGATAGGATGCTTCCTTGACCATTACCATCTTAATCCCTTTATATCCAGGATCAACTATCCTACATATCCTCATAATCTACATTTCCTACATTCTCTTTACCTCTCCATTCATCATTATGATTACATTGACGTCAGTATTGTTGGTCGGAACTCTAATGACAATCCCTTTCCACACTGTCCGGTCCTGCATTACTGTCCCCAAATCCCCAACGTCCAACCCTGAGTCCTTAGTTATGGTGTCTGTGGAAGTCAATTTTCGTGCGAAGACTCTTCCAAGAGGATGACAGAGGAGTAAAGATCAAACGATTTCCCTGTCCGCTCGGCCAACAAACTGTAATTGTTTTTGTTTGAGCTTAAGAGTGATTGGTCTCAGTAAATTGTTGCATGACATCTCCAACTGATGTTCTGGATATTTCTAAATAGACTAGTATCTGTTCGATCCAGTCGTCTTTCAAGGAGGGGCAGATAATGTCCAACTATCTGATCCATACAAGACCGGTTCAATCTATGTTTGGACTTTTAAGAAAGGTGAAAGTTTCGAGCACCAAATC